ATTGAAGTCTCCTAGGGGCATGAGAGTGTGTGTACATGTATGGATGCATGCACAAGATGCAACACTTGAGTAGCTGGCCTTAGATTATCTATCCTATAGCTGATCCCAGATCTCACTGGTGTCCCCAGTTGCTGGCACCCAAACAGAAGAGCCTTGGAGATTTGCAGCACTACTCTAATTGCTGATACTCAGATCTCTTGTACTAGCTGGCTAGTCAAGCTTGAAGTTAACTTTTGTTCATACATACCCACTCAAAAAGAGGGAGTACATCTAAATGGAAGATACTGAGGATTTAATGGGAAAATGGGACAGACTTCAGTGATTGAGGTCAGGACAAACATGCTGACCAGCTAGCTATTTGCAGTAAGCTTGTTCCTTTTATCTGCTTTTTCCTCTGTCTTACACTTGTTACTCCCTCATCCACCTTGATCCCTCCCTTTCTCCACCTCTAGTCCCTCTCATAAAGGTTCCATAGTAACATTTACACAACGCCCTTAACAAATCCCATAATAAGTTTTCCACACTCCAAAAATGTTCGTTCCCTTGCTTCTTTTTAAGAGTCTTACCTCTCTGTAGCTAACAACCCCCATTAGCCTGCAGGACATCTGAGATCGCTTTCACAGTTGACTCATCTGGATGAATTTCACACAGGGATAAGAGGTGTCTGCAGTGCTTTGCTGTCCCTAACAGCACTTTTGAATGACTGGTGAAGTAAATCTGTGGGATGTTTAAGGTCACAAGTTTTGACAGTATTTATCCCAGTCTTTAAAGTAATAAACCCTTGCCCAAATTCTGCACTTTTCTCAATAAAATGTTTGATTTACCACTGAACTGGAATAATATTCAACAACATAATAATATAATTATGGTAAATAAGTAGATACACAGTTTACATCAGATTGCTCATGGAAGCCTCTGTTAGAGCTATTACATTCTTCTGTTGGAAAAATAAAATGAAAATACTTCTATAGAATTGTGTTGTACTGTATTTTTTCTCTGGTGATGTTCTGGCTTACATGAACAGATTTATTTTTTAAATAGAAGCACAGGTGGGAGTCAGACACAATGAGATTTGCTGCTTCACTAGCTAACCCTATGCAGATTAATGATTCACTTCAGCTCTATCTGAATAATATTAGTGTAGCAAATTATCCTGTATAGTAGGATGCACTTTTCTATGTCTTATGAGGCATTCATAAGAAGCTACAGTGCTTTAACTTACGGAATGGTTCCTTACAATATGTGCTTCACAGATCTCACTGCTGAGACAATTACCAGTGAAAATGAGACCCAAGACTCATTTTGTTTCTCATCTCGAGGATTATATCGTCTATAATTTGGAAAAGGCTTAAAGGACTATTTAGAATGTTTCCCTCCTACTCCCATAATTGCACTATGGTCACAGGAGCAGAGCAAGTAGAAAAAAACACCAGCTGCACTTTGGCAGCTGTGTTAATAGACCATTGCATGCTGCTAAGGAGCTTGGTTTTGTTCCATTTTCACACTTGTATGAAGTGTTACAGGTTACATTCTGTTGGACTTATACAAAACCAGATGTACTCTAAGATTGTACAGGTATTATGCCAATTGACATGTGTCAGCTTATTGATGGTCTTTGAAAAGTAAACCAGGCATGTTCCATCAGATAGCCTAGGGGAATAGAAGCTCAGCCTTACAATTTACTAGGAAACTTGGCTCCAGAAAGCTGAGCAGGTTCACTTTTTTTTGATTGTGAAGAAAAATACAGCAAAGATCAGTGTTGCATTAGACTTTATTGGTATTAGTATTTTTATGCCACTAAGCTCTAGCTGTTGTACTGTAGTAGCCAGAACACCATTTGATAAGCAACTCCACAATAGAGGAAGGGTTACCTTTATCCCTGGAGAACAACATTTTTCCAATTGTTTGAAAAGTCAGTGTTGCTTCCATGACATTGACTTGCTTTGAGAATCATCATGCAGCTGCCATTAGTTTTAGTTTGGTTTTTTTTCTGCACTAGTTGTTATTGTCAGCTTGTTTAGGAAGCACATTAAAGCATGGAACACACTATATTTGTTGTCTGTGTCATAGCGGTATGGTGAGCTGGTAGTGACTAGTGTTAGCTCTCCAAGCTGAGACAACCATCTTCCTGATTCATGCTAAAGCTCTACAAGCCTAATTGTCCCCCAGAGAAAAGGTGTTTCTAAGAAGCATGATTTTGCATCCTGTACTTTCTTCAGCTTAGCCCTAGTGAGAAAGATCAGGGATAGTATCAACCAGGGCATGTTTTTGGTGCATGTGCTTGCTCATCTTCCCTTGACTGCAGTTAGCGTTAACTGCCTACCAGCATTTAAAAATTCTGGTCTTTAGTTCCAGCTCTATTTCTCTACCCAGGAAATAATTTTATTTTCTACAAAAGAGTCTTTCAATTTCACTTGTGAATAGACATGTGAAGGAGAAAAAAGAATGTTTCACATGTCAGTGTGTTGCAGATAGCTTGATGCTGTTGCAGAATACACTCTCTTCTCGAGAAGACACTCTCAAGAGTCTATGAGAGTAATAGTAGACTGAATCAGGGTGAAAACTGAAATGGAGTAGTAGTTAAAAACAACCCTTCATGTGTACTCTTATATTTACGTTAACAAGCTTTTTTCCTTGTCACAAGCTTGGATTAAGAGAAATAATGTCTACCCCACTATGACCTGCAATATGCTGTTTCCTCTCCACTGCTTTTTTTTTAAGACAATTTTTTTGCAGTTTCATTTACAAAGTGTACTAAAAATAATCAAAGCCAGAGGTATATAATAAATTGCAGTCAGACAGTACGCTATCTCAGAAGGTAAGAAATGAGACTGCAAACAAATGTGCAGCAGAACGTGCAGCAAATATTATTGAAATAGGGCTTTAATTTGAAAAGTAACTAGAATGTTTCACTTTTCCACACAGCCTACTATTTCAGTGCAAGCAAACAAAAAAAGACTTCCTGTTGATTACACCTCTTGGCCCCACAGAACCAGTGCATTGAAGATGCTTGCAGTGCTAGCAATTTCCTAGCAATATTTAACATTGAAACTTCAATGAATTTTTACAAATTTTAGAGCTTTCACATAGGAAACTATATATGCACACCTAAGACTGTGAATCTATTGTCATCTAGATCCTAAACCACAGATCTTCCACCGTAGAAGTCCTAGAAATATGTTAAACTTTAGTTATTACCTATTCAACATATAAGGAATAGTCTTAATATGAGAACTTGGGGTAAAACACTTACTTAAAAATTAAAAAGTATTTAGAAGTACTGCAGAATGCAGTCTGTTTTGAATGGCTGGAGCTGAAAGAGTTGATGTGGTTTGTCTAGATCATGCTGGTGTAAAAACAATTTACATTGTACGCTGGATTCTTTATTCATGAAAAGGAAAAGGTACAAGATAACTCTTCATAAACTAGTTTCTTAAAATATAGCTATTGCTCATTACCTCCCTTATTAGGTAATAATAAATAATGAAACACTCTAGCTATTTTCTTTCATTTCAAAGAGCTTAACTGAGGGGGAACTGCTTGGAGAGGTATATTAAAATTGTGTTTTGTCTGTTTATTGTAGGCAATATTGGTGACTGTGATCCAGTATAGTTACAGTTATAGTTATTTGTGGCCACAGTGTAATATATCTGCAAATGAGTTTAAGAGAGGAAAGGGCATTTGTGAAACAGGGGACAGGTGACTGTATGATTCCTGTTGAAACAACAGAATGAAACACAGGTTTCTCCTTGTCTCTGTAGATTTTCTTTTATGCTGTTGAGGAAAAATATTGATAAATTGAGATAATTCTACACAAATGCACATATACACACATGATTTTCAAATCATAATAATTACAGCCTCACCCACTTCTTATTCCTGTTGAAAAACTTTTGTTGTTAGTGATTTGTCTGAAATTTTCCTAACTGAAACTTTTGTGGATCTTACCATGTTCTGAGCAGGACCTTCTTCTACCTGCATTGCTGGTTGTCAAAATATTCATGACAGATTTTGTGTGGACTAAGTCTGAATCATGCAGCTTCTTTAAAATGACTATCAGATAGAGGAAACATTAAGTATTAAATCAACACTATTCTCTCCCTCTGGCATCCTCATGTGCAGACTCACCACACTACATCTTTAAAATATTTGCAGTATGTTCTGCTTTTCTAATGGAAATAGCTGTTTCCTTTTTTTAGCTTCAGTTTTAACCTCTGTAGCATCTAGATGTTACTAGGTTAAAAAAAACCCCAAACAAAACAAAACTGCATCACTAATGTATGTTTTTCTGCAATTGCAAATGTATTGTTTGTGGCTTGCATTCCAGCAAGCCTGTAAACAGAAATAAACGCTGATAAATCAATTGAAAAGGCAGGTGAAGTGGACCATAATGAGCACTGATTACATGCTTACATTCTGTTTATAGTGATATTTGATGTGTCTCTGTCCTATAAAGCTTATTTATGGCCAGAGTGCTGAGTCATGTGATTTAAACAAGACTGTTTCATAGAATGGTTTCAGCATGTTGTGATTGCCTATCAGTTGCTTAAACCTATGTTTTTTCTTAACAGCAATAACATTGTAACAGAGTTTGGCAACTTTTAAGCACTGCAGAAAGTATATGTCTATAAATACACATAAAGAAGCTAAACCACGTCTACAAATTGAAAATACTTGAAAACAAACTTTGCAAATATTTGGCTGAAACTGCAGCTTAGCAATTACCTACTAAGTGATGTGGAATTTAGAGTGCTTTTTAATTCTATTTTCAAAGCATCTTCTGGCCTAATGCAACTAATCTTTTTTCAGAAATGTTAATGGAGAATTTATTTCTGTAGTTCAAGGGTTTCAATCGAATCTGAGGCCATATTGCGTTTTTAGGGGGAAAAACCCCCAAGCATTATCATATTTTCTGTTCCTAGTTTGGTAACTATTAAGAAAGTGAAATAAATTTATAATTATATATTTAAATGTATAGTAATAATGTGGCTATTTTTCAGATTTTCCAGATTGCATATGTTATTGTGAAAGCAGCTAATTCGCCTCGACCTGGGAATTGGATATTAGAGCGTTCGCTGGATGGTGTAGACTATCAACCATGGCAGTATTATGCTATCACAGACAGTGAGTGCCTGACACGCTACAACATTCATCCTCGTCCTGGAACTCCATCCTATATAAAAGATGATGAAGTTATATGCACTTCTTATTACTCCAAGATCCATCCTCTGGAGAATGGAGAGGTAAGATCAGATGTTATTCTATGTACTGTAAGCTGACAGGAAAAAAGACTTTGCTTAGTTGGCAAATATCTGCCTTGAATAGACAGAGTGTTTTGGTGTGCCTGGAAAATGGGAAGGTAGTCTATTTGCAATTTTAAAAGACTGATCTTATGTGATCCTATATAACTGCGTACAACATACGCTCTGCTGAGCATATCTTACAAAGTAAACCAAGAGGTAAAGCAGTTACTAGGTAGAACAAGGCACTAGTATTTTTAGACAACTTCAGGTGCTTGAAGTATGTTCCCGTGTCACTTGTGAACAAGGGTGAGAATACTGGGAAAAATCATGGTGAAGTCATTAAAAGGCTTTTCTTTGAGTTGCGTTTTCAGTCCCTGTATGTAAGTTAAGATGTTAAATGGTAATGATTTTACTCAAGAGTTTAATCCATTGCATTTAAGAGCTTGTAACTGATCCTCTGCCCTTGCGTATACCTATTCATCCTTCTCCTGTCAGATGACTCCAGTATTTCGTTGTGAGTGCAGGCACATGAATCATGGACCAGTCATTTGTTTGAACTGAGGTCATAGAAAAGATGTGGTGGAGGTGAGAATGAGGAACTGTGGTTGAAAGAATAAGGCAATTGTAACAGCTTTAGCTGAAAATACAGTATTACAGCCACTTAAAATGAAGAGGGGGAAAGCCATGTGTACCAAATTCCAACAACTGTATATTTTTTTACAGATTTTTTTTCCCAACACGTGCTTTGCACACAACTTGGTAATTCAAGGAAATAATGTGACTTGAATATGCACTAGATCTGAAGTATTTACTTATTTACAGATTCTTTGATGTCTAATGATCTGTGAAATTTTAGCCTCAATATTTATCATTCTGTTAATTTTTTCTGTTCCACTTTTTAAACGCCTTACCTCCATAGAGGTACAAACTTACTCTCCTTTTTTCCTTTACATGCAAAGCAACATTAATGTACAAAATTGTGAATACAGTTATTTTTGAGTACTGGATATAGATATGTATAGTTTGTTTATGTTCACAGGCAATTTTCAATGCCAGCTGCAAAAATAGAAAAACAGAGCTTTCAATGAAAATATCCTGCTGATACATTTTAAAAAAAGATGTAAGCTTGGATCTAAAGGAGTCTCATATGAGTTATCAGATATTAAATCAGTTACACATCTAGGAAAAATCATGTATCGTTTGTAGTTGTATCATTTGAATGGGTATTTGTTCTTGTAAAACCTAGCAGGAGCAGATAAAGTGATATTAAAAGAAACAGTGCATACATACGTGCTATGTTTTCAAAGTGTTTCCAATAGAGTGCTTTTTCAAGGGTGAACAGAACATAAGTTAGCAGTTTAGCACTTACAAAGAAACTTTATACAGTTTTTTTGGGAGAGCATGTCTGCACTCAAAATATAATGCCAAAGAAATTATTCCAATAATGCATTTAATTTACATTGTTCAATTTCTTTGATTATCTAACTTTAACACAGGTTAATTCTTTTTCATGTTTCATCAAACATGTAACCTGAAAAATAATACAATTCATAACAGTATCGGATTTCTTTCAATTGCATTGTAGTTGATATTTGCCTGGTTCCTGACCTTTCGGTGGAACTGCATCTGCATATAATTTATTTTTGTTCCAGGGTAAGACTTTTGTTCTATATATCAGATATTAAAGACCTTTTGTAAGACTGACAGAGTTATGAACTGTACATTAAGTGCCTTTCCTTTGCTTCAAAACCCATGAGCTATTTAGGCACACCATTCAGGTGCACAGTCAGGAAGCCTCATGAACTGTAGAGGGAGCATAGGTCAGCAAGCCAGTCCCAAAGCCAAGTCTGCATCTAGGGTAATGTCTTAAGCTAAAACTTGTCAACCTAGAAAAAGCAGAATATCCTCTTTTCATGTGTACTTTCAATGAACATTTTAGCCAGTGACTTGATTGATTAGAGTATTTCCAGAAATGTTAATTTTAAGCAAAATATTTGGGGCATTTAGTAGTGTCACTATTTGCATCAGTAATATTCTCTTGACCAATGACAGAAATAAAACCAACAACAACAACAAAAAGACAAACTAACAAAAAACCCTTTGTGATTTATCTTCAGGTCAGTGTAACTAGCCCAGGTTTCAGTTCACACAGTCAAATGTGAATAAGCAATCTGCAGACCAAGAATTATTTGCATAAAATAATTTTATTGAATATTTGCAGGAAATAATGAAAATTTGCATAATGACAGCTTCTGAGTGAACAAAACGGAGAAATTCTCAAATAAGGAAATTTCTTTCTAATGTGTAAACTTGAATGCAGAAAGATTGTTGACTTTCCAGTTTCCATACTAAGATCAGTGATACCTTAAAAAAATCACAGGGAGACCAAAGTGTCTCTCTATCACACTGGCAAAGTTAGACTTTTAGCATTTATGTTTCTGATGCACCATCAATAAATGTAAGTGCTAAAGTTCCCCCAAATATCATTCAAAATGAAACAGCAAGTTCTGCTGTCTCAGCATCCCCAAACTGACAGAGGTCAGTTATATTAATGAGTTACTCATTAACTTTTACTGAATTGATCTTTCTTACTTTAATGGTAATCTTTTTGGCAATAACTGGGAAAGAGCCATTTATATAAGGTGTAATACCTGGCAGGATGAAGCAGCTATTTTCAGGTAAAGAAGAATGCTCATTTTGTGACATTTTCATCTTTAAACGCTTTATCAAAATGGTATTTCTTTTTTTCTTTATTTCCTCAGATGATCATTAGTTTGAGAACTAAAAATTAGTGGGTTACCATAGTGATTTTTGCTTCATTTTCCTGACAGAGGAGCCTCTGATGTTTACATCTAGTTTGTACCTTTTTAAATTGAAATCTTTCTTCTGCTAGACTACAATTTGTGTCACAGCTTCTTTACCTTAATGACTACTAGGTGGTTGTAAGGTTCTGGACATTAAGTTTCAATGTACTTTTTTTTTCTGTAAGATGTATGGAGATTTCTTTTAGTAAATGTTTGTTTGAACTGGCATGTATAGTATATGCATAGGAATCATTCATCTTGCTTACAGATGTTTCAAAGCTGGACCCTCGGAAGACTTCAGGTGCTCCAGTTGATCACTTTAACATGATAGGAAAATGTATATCTTTTCATTGAAAATGACACATTTACCTGACCTGTAGTCTGAGAGGAAATCAAACAGGAGGTTACTGGTAGAAAAAGCATTCTTCAGACATACATAGATATAGGGTATTTTGTATAGGCTATGAGAAAATATTAAGGTAAAAAATATTGTTTTGTCTCTTCTTTAATATAAAGTAATTCTCTGTGCAAGCAGAGATTGAAAGTGAAATCCAGCGAAGACAGTAAGAAAATGGTTTAGTTAATTAGATAGGAAAACACTTGCTTTTACTAAGAAATCAATAATTAAAACCCCTCATCTTCTGGGAAACAGAGAGTTTCTCTACAGTGAGTTCTTGTGAAAGTATAAAACCAAGGAGTTTGTGAACTTAATTCTCACTGTATTATATCTTAATTTGAGTAGCCAATTGACTGCCTGGACCATATTAGTATTATAACATAGAGGATTTCTGAAAAAGTTTTTTTTTAAAATTATGATCATTATTGTTGTGCAGAAGTTATGTAAACTTACAAGGAGAAGAAATCCCTCTCTATTTGTGGGCAGAATCTGTTTTCAGAAGATGCTGCCTCAAAGGGTATTTCTGCAGTTGGGTAGAGTTTAGGTTACACAGAAGTTACAAATATTGAGCATTATTTGTCAGTTTGGTAGTCAGAATTGATAAGAAAAGGAGGGATTAAGAAAGCAGAAGCTGAAGTGGCTGTAATTGAGGAATACTTTTCCTTCAAAAGTGTGTTTAGCCGATTGAATGATCTCTCAGCAAAACACAGAGATAGTACCGTTCTCTTTCAATCCCAGTCGCAGTTTGCCAGAATTATCAGATGCAAGGTGTACTCCTGAAATTCTTGCCCAGGGTAATATTGCTATCTAGTTTCTACTTCATGGTTATGTAGTCTGTAGAGACTAGATGCACAGGACAACAACATTGAAACTCTTCCTAGATGTTATTGACTCCTACCCAAAACAGAGATAGGTTAGAGATCTGTCATATACTCTCTGACTCTTTCTTCAGGCACACTTGTAGTCAAGGGAGGAAGGGAGTTGAAAATACTAACAATGTCAATGCTAATAGAGAATTTGGGGGTAATGAGTTAAACATTCATTTACCCCAACCTTTAATGAAAGCTTTTACATTTTTTTTTTTTGTCTCATACCTCTCCATCACTAAATCACTTGTGCAATGATGAGCTTTTTTGGCTTTCCATCATGCTGTTACTTGTTTTGTTGTATTTCATATTTCATGGAAGAATGTAACTGAGGCATAGATTAGCTGTGACAGAATGCTGTGAAGATCGCTCCCTGTTAATTATTGCAATACTAGTTCGGTATCACAAGAACAAATCTCTTAATATATCTCTGCCACAATACTTAACTGGTGAAGAAAGACATATTTGTAATCATCATAATGAAGCAATGGAGAGGTGAAATTTGAGGATTCAGTAAATATGTACTTGTATTGAGTAAGGGAAATGATCCCTGGCCCTCCTGTGTGAGATGCTTTTCATGTTATTTTCTGTTGCTGAGAATGATCTACCTTGACATTTAAAGATGGAAAAATTGAAAGGCATTAGCCCTATATTAAAAGGAAAGTAATTTGATTCTAGAAATGAGAATGCCACCTAGTTGCAGTATGCCACTTTCAGCATTACATTTACTATGTAATATAAAACTAAGTTGTACCCACAGAGGAATATGCAGTATTTTTGTAATATTGATTTTTAAAAACCAAAGAGGTGCATGAAAAATGATTTAAAAATAACTTAGATATTAGAGCTGTATTTTATCTCCAACCCTTTTTCAGCTCATGAGATTTCCTCATCTTGATACATTTTTCACTTTTCATACTTCTGATGAATCCA